CCTTCCTTCCTTCCTTCCTTCCCTCCCTCCCTCCCTCTCTCTCTCTCTCTTTCTTTCTTTCCTTCTGTCTACTTTCACTTGTGAAAAAGACTGTGTTCCAGAGAGGTGCAACTGGCTAGAGGGGAAAGTTCCCTGTTTGTCTCATCCAAGTCCTGGCACCTCCCACTTCCATTTCTCCCTCTCTAAAGAAGCAAAGTTAATTCCTGTATGTTACTGCATCTGTCTGAAAGGACTGGGAGGAAAAAGAATAATACCTGTGGGCTTTGCTTAGGATCATTCTCCAAGTCTCCAGCAGTTTTGTTGTGTTAGTGCGTTCCTGTGCCTGTGGTCAGCAAAAGGGTGAGGATGAGACCTCAGTGTACCCCGAGAGAGAACCTGCAGCCAGTCTGTGGGGTGCCAAGCCAGGCTCGCTGGCCTGGCTGTGAGGGAGAAAAGGAGAGCGTGTGCGGTGACTTTCTGTAGGCCCACTGTCTAAGTCATTCCTGCACCTGTTTGCGCCCTCAGTGTCCCCTGCTTTGTCTCATGCTCACCGTCAACCATACCCAGAACTTCACTTCCAAAGTGGGCAAGGAGGGGCTGTGAGGATGAAGGAGCCGAATGTGGGAAGTCAGCATTTCTGTGACACATTCCATGACCTGTGTAGCACCCGGCTTTACCCTACTGGCCTAGAATCGCCTTCTTAGAGTGAGAAGAAACCAGGCTTGGACTAGTGGCTCTATTCTCAGTCTTGCCCAATGTCCAATATGATGAAATTCAAAGAATGTTTGAGGCATAGAGAGAGGACTGATCACAGCAGGGGCCAAGCGTGAAACACCCCAGAGAGAGATAACTTATCTCCATTTCCATAACCTCTGTTTTCTGAATTCTGCCTCATGGGAGATCTGTCCCTGTAGCTGTGGGGAGATGTCATGTCACCCAGCCTCACAACCTCTGCTTCCGTGGGGAGCTGCCCTATCTCTCTTAGGGCACAGTGGTGAGGCAGTGGCCCAGAGCCTGATGGTCAGGGTAGAGTCTGTGCCTCTTCAAAGGATGGTAGATGTAATGGAGCAGAGAGAAGCCCAAATGCATTGCATTTGCGTGTAAGAAGGAGAAAACATCTCCAGGACGTCCAGCATGAAAGGGAGGTGGTGCCATCTCGGGGCCCGTGGAACTGGGATGCTGCTCTGTGCTCTTGGCTTTGCTTTGCTTTGTGACTTAAAGCTGGAATCACTTTTGGAATCTCCTGTGGAGAGGTCCAGCAGGTCCATCACTACGATGGCCAACAGTGGAGCAGCCTGACTCAAGTGTGTGTGCGGAGCAGTTGCTGCCTGCGGCACGCAGGGCTCTGGAACACGGCAGGTCCCACCTTCCTCAACAGAGGCTGGCTCCCCTTGAGGCCACACTGTGAGGGAGGCTTGCTTGTCTCTTTATTGAAGGATGATGTGCCTTCCACTGCCAGGAGAACCGGGTCTCTGAGGGTGTGAGCTGGTAGGATGTACTTCCCTCCCAGCTCCAACTTTCAATCTCTGTTTCCTGGCTATTATGATGTGAGCAGCTTTACTCCTCTGCGCCCCTCTGCCCTGTCAATTCTGCCCTGGTGCCGGTCAACCATGGACCGACTGCTTATGTGAACCAAAATAAACCCTGTAACTTCCCTTCTGCCCAGCGTGTGATCCATCCCATCCTGAGCACCAGTCAGTTCCCTTGCAACCAAAGACCTTGGTAAACCTCCAGGTACTTGTAGACCAAGAGGGGTTTTAATTCTCCCTGGATAACTTGGAAATGTGGGGCATGGTTCATCTCCTAAAGGCAGGGCCCCCAGGGCAGCCCTGTCCTCACCTGCCCACCAAACGGAGCAGGAGCCTGGCCAGTGACAGACAGAGGGCATAGAGAATGACACAGATCTGCCTGATTTAGGAGGGAGCCTCTCCCACCTGGTGCATGTCAGGATGGTATTTGCTGCAACTTGTCATTAGATAAGATGCAAGATTTAATTAAGTGCCTGGATAGTTCATCAAAACATATTAGATGTCCAGTGATGTGTTCTGGTACAAGGAACACTGTGAAAGAGCAGGGACTCCACAGCACTGCCACCATGCCGAGGTCATGACCACTGTATTTGTGAGTCAGTATTTTAAACAGAAAGATTAAAGAGTTATGTGGGAATTGCACCTTAGTTGCCAGAGACTGCGGGTCAGAGAAATGGGAGATGCCACGGGACAAGAGGGTATTGATCGTTCCTCAATCTTGTCTTCATCATGTGCCATTTTCCTCCTTCCCCTCTCC